GCTGTGCCCGGTGAGACAATTTTCGGGAAGATTTCATATGACGTCCGCCCACAATGAGGAAAGTCCCACCTGGCGGGCATATTACTGGGCGGGAAGTGATCAAGAACCATCTTCAGTCAAAGATGAACAAGGAGTCCTGGAAGTGATGGTTTGGCCCCCACAGAGCCCTGATCTCACCATCATGGAGTCTGCTCGGGATGACATGAAGAGACAGAAGGATTGGAGACAGCCGACATCCACAGAAGAACTGTGCTTAGTTCTCCAAGATGTTGGGGACAACCTACCCACCGAGTTCCTTAAAAAACTGTGTGCAAGTCTACCTAGAAGAAGGCAAATGGCGGTCACACCAAATATTAACCACTTCAAGTCCAGACACTTTCACCCCCTTCCAGTCCAGACACTTTCCCCCCCTTCAAGTCCGGACACTTTTACCCCCTTCCAGTCCGGACACTTTCACCCCCTTCCAGTCCGGACACTTTCCCCCCCTTCCAGTCCGGACACTTTCACCCCCTTCCAGTCCGGACACTTTCACCCCCTTCCAGTCCGGACACTTTCACCCCCTTCCAGTCCGGACACTTTCACCCCCTTCCAGTCAGGACACTTTCACCCCCTTCCAGTCCCGGACACTTTCACCCCCTTCCAGTCCGGACACTTTCACCCCCTTCCAGTCCGGACACTTTCCCCCCCTTCAGTCAGGACACTTTCCCCCCCTTCCAGTCCGGACACTTTCCCCCCTTCCAGTCCGGGCACTTCACCCCCTTCCAGTCCGGACACTTTCCCCCCTTCCAGTCCGGACACTTTCACCCCCTTCCAGTCCGGACACTTTCACCCCCTTCCAGTCCGGACACTTTCACCCCCTTCCAGTCCGGACACTTTCACCCCCTTCCAGTCCGGACACTTTCACCCCCTTCCAGTCCGGACACTTTCCCCCCCTTCCAGTCCGGACACTTTCACCCCCTTCCAGTCCGGGCACTACACCCCCTTCCAGTCCGGACACTTTCCCCCCTTCCAGTCCGGGCACTATCACCCCCTTCCAGTCCGGACACTTTCCCCCCTTCCAGTCCGGACACTTTCCCCCTTCCAGTCCGGACACTATCACCCCCTTCCAGTCCGGACACTTTCCCCCCTTCCAGTCCGGACACTTTCCCCCCTTCCAGTCCGGACACTTTCACCCCTTCCAGTCAGGACACTTTCCCCCCTTCCAGTCCAGGCCAATTTTCAGCTTTCAGCGCTATCACACTTTGAATGACAATTGCGCGGTCATGCAACACTGTACCCATATGAATTTTTTAGCATTTTTTTGAGACAGATAAAACTTTATTTTGGTGTTATTTATTCACCACTGGGATTTTTATTTTTTTGCGATATAAATGAAACATCCAAACACTTTGGAAAAAAAAAGTGTTTTTTTGCAAATAAATAATCTTTCTTCATAAATCTTGGCCAAAATTTATTCAGCTATCTTTTTAGTAAAAAAGAAATAAAAATAACCCAAATTAGTTTATAACCAAAAATTATAATTTTTCAAAAAAATGTTTTACATTTTTATGTTTTATTATATTATTATTCATGATTTTTTCTTTTCTTTTTTTTTTACATACTGCACCCTACTACTTGTGGGGGGTGAGGAAGATTGTTTTTTTTTTTTTTTACACTGATTGCTTTTACATCCATAAAGGCTGTAATAGCAATCATTTCTCCTTCTCTCTGGCTGCATTCTTGCAGCCACTGAGAAATACTGTGAGTGCTGTGATTGGTCACAGCTTGGCACATAGTACAAGGATGTTGTGAATGGCCCTGTACCATGTGATCTCTGTGATCATTCCCAGATTTCACACGTAGTAAGCAGTGATGTCAGAAGTGACATCTTGTTTACTACTGGCCATGTGATCACTGTTTGGCCAATCAGTGATCACATGAATCGGGACCTCACACAGAGGGCCCATACAGTGATCAGGCAAGCACCGGGAGGCTCCTAGGGAGCGCGCACAGGCAGGGAAGCGGGAGGACGTTTATAAACGGCCACCCACCCCCTGCACTGCTCCCATCTGGCCGTTTATATACATGGGCCAGACGGGAAGTGGTTAATTGGATTTGGATTTCTCTTCTCTTCATTTAGTTTCCATTTTATTAATTTGCTAAAAAAATAAACAACTATTAGTACTTCTATTTCTGAAAGTTTTCTTGATTTACAGCATTTTTTTCACACCTGCCTACAGTACATATACTGTATTTTTTTAATTCTTTTTTTCTAAATAATTTCTGAGAATCCTGAGAGACTGTTGCCCAATATATAATAAATATTCATGACATTTCCGCATTTGTTTCCAGCGTCTGGTTTCTCGTCCTACTCAGGACAGCGAAATGTTTATATTAGCATTGTACCGATCGAAAATGAGCGATTTTATATATTTGGAGTATCCTACTTATTAGCTGATCCAGAAGTTTCAAAGGTCACATTTCCTCGGCCTCGCTAAAGATGTTTGTATATTTCCTGTACAATAGGCATCAATAAATGGCGAGCCAGCCAGTCCTCAGCACAAGTCTCAAATCCCCCTCCCCCAGCCGTGATTGGTGTTTAGGGCAGAAATTGATTTTTTTTTTTTTTGTCTTTTACAATTAGCTTAGCTGACCTGCAGCAGTTAAAAAAAAAGTTTTTTTTGCTTTTCCAATGTGATTTAAGATACATTTTCCTTTCCGAACACAAAGCTGTAGTTTCCCTTTAAGAGCGGGCTTTCCACCTGAAAAAAAAAAAAAAAAAAAAAATATATATATATATATATATATATATATATATATATATATATATATATATATCTATATATATATATATATATAAATATATACGTGTATTGTATTTTAATCTCTGCATTCAGATATTTTAATATGTGAATTTTAAATAAAGAGTTTTTAGGGCCGAAATTGATTTTTTTATTGTCTTTTACAATTAGCTTAGCTGACCTGCAGCAGTTAAAAAAAACAAAAAACAGTCATTTTTTTTTTCCAATGTGATTGGAAATATTTGGAATTTGGTCCCGATTCATTTGATCACTGATTGGCCAAACAGTGATCACATGACCAGTAGTAAACAAGATGTCCTTCTGACAGACCTAGCGGTCTGATTATGTCCATATTTCTGTGCTCAAAGCGGTACATTTTTTTGCATGGAAATATGTATTTTTTTTTTATTGTAGGCCTGTAATTTTTAGGAATAACTCACTGAAATCTGTCCGGACAAGAGTCTAGTAAACATCCCGGGGATGATAAAATTTAAAACACAAAATCCTAAATTATAATATAATAAATAATCATAAAAAATAATAAATAATAATAATAAATGTAATTCAATAATATAATCAAACTAAAAACACTGAAATGTGAAATAGAGCGCCAAGTTCGCACATCGCTGAGCTCAGTCGCAGAATCGTTTTCAGTGCCTGATGAGGAATTCCCCCACCAATCATTATCACTCAATTCTGCAAGTGGTTCTGATTTACTATCGCTGTTCTCTAGCCGGTCTAAAACCGCGTCTGACCTAAAGGGACACTTTTTGGACGCCATGGACGTTTCTCAGTTTCCAGGCAGAAAGGACGGTAAAAAATGCAGGCAGGGCGCCGAACAAAGCACTCGGGACACAATGTATGTGAAATGGTTTGATACAGGAATGTTATACTATGTGATTTTAGTGTATTTTTAGTGAATGTCACTTTTTGTCATTTTCAAATTTCCCGCCAGTTCCATCCCCCGTACGTCCCGACATCGCAGGGAACGGAACCCGGAAGGCATCGGCCGGAGGACATTACCAGGGACACTGCAGGAGGGACATCGCGGGAGTGCAGGACAAGGTAAGAAGAGATCCCGGAGCAACGCTGCAGTGTATTCCCGAGTGTAGCTCGGGGGGGTTACCGCTTGTGGTGCTGAAACTTTATCCCGAGCTACACTCGGGAATACCGCCAGGGAGGCTACGATACATTTTGTTTTTCCAACTTCCCTCCGAACACAAATCTGCAGTTTCCCATTAAGAGCGGACTCGCCACCTGAAAATATATATACGTGTATTGTATTTTAATCTCCGCATCTCAGATATTTTAATATGTGAATTTTAAATAAAGAGTTTTTAGGGCCGAAAGTTTTTTTTTTTGTCTTTTACAACTAGCTTAGCTGACCTACAGCAGTTAAAAAAAACCCAAAAAACAGTCATTTTGTTTTTCCAATGTGATTTAACCTCCCTAGCGGTCTGATTATGTCCATATTTCTGTGCTCAAAGCGGTTTTTTTTTTGCATGGAAATATGTATTTTTTTTTATTGTAGGCTGTAATTTTTAGGAATAACTCACTGAAATCTGTCTGAACAAGAGTCTAGTAAACATCCCGGGGAGGATAAAATTTGAAACACAAAATCATAAATTATAATTTAATAAATAATCATAAAAAATAATAATATAATAATAATAATAAATTTAATTCAATAATATAATCAAACCAAAAACACTGAAATGTGAAATAGAGCGCCAAGTTCGCACATCGCTGAGCTCAGTCGCAGAATCGTTTTCAGTGTCTGATGAGGAATTTCCCCCACCAATCATTATCACTCAATTCTGCAAGTGGTTCTGATTTACTATCGCTGTTCTCTAGCCGGTCTAAAACCGCGTCTGACCTAAAGGGACGCTTTTTGGACGCCATGGACGTTTCTCAGTTTCCAGGCAGAAAGAACAGTAATAATGCAGGCAGGGCGCCGGACAAAGCACTCGGGACAACATGTATGTGAAATGGTTTGATACAGGAATGTTATACTATGTGATTTTAGTGTATTTAGTGAATGTCACTTTTTCACATTTTCAAATTTCCCGCCAGTTCTGTCCCCCGTACATCCCGACGTCGCAGAGAACGGAACCCGGAAGACAGATGCCGGCATCGGCCGGAGGACATTGCCGGGGACACTGCAGGAGGGACATCGCGGGAGCGCAGGACAAGGTAAGTGATCGAGGGATCCCGGAGCAACGCTGCAGTGTATTCCCGAGTGTAGCTCGGGGGGGTTACCGCTTGTGGTGCTGAAACTTTACCCCGAGCTACACTCGGGAATACCTCCAGGGGGGTTACGATACATTTTGTTTTTCCAACTTCCCTCTGAGCACAAATCTGCAGTTTCCCTTTAAGAGCGGACTCGCCACCTGAAAATATATATACGTGTATTGTATTGTTAATCTCCGCAGCTCAGATATTTTAATATGTGAATTTTAAATAAAGAGTTTTTAGGGCCGAAATTGATTTTTTTTTTTTTGTCTTTTACAATTAGCTTAGCTGACCTGCAGCAGTTAAAAAAAAAAGTAATTTTTGTTTTTCCAATGTGATTTAACCTCTTCACGCCGCCGACCGAACACAAATGTGCAGCCTCCCAGTGTCTGGGCCTAGACGCCGAGCGGACCCGCACATTTGCGTTCTATTAAAAAAAGAACATATGTGCTGACAGCACTCGCCCTGCGCGCTCCCAGCACACACGTCCGGTACTCACAGAAAGGTCCCGATCTCTTTCAATCGTGACCTTTCCAGATCATGTGACCATCGTGATGGTGTGTCTCGGCGGTCACATGACCCTAAACCCTGCCCCACCTCCCGGCTTCTGAAACCCTTAAAGGGCCGGGAGGCGCCGGCTCGAAGGGGTTAAGATCCATTTTGTTTTTCCAATGTGATTTAAGATACATTTTCCTTCCGAACACAAATCTGCAGTTTCCCTTTAAGAGCGGACTCTCCACCTGAAAATATATACAGGTGAAACTCGAAAAATGAGAATATGGTGCAAAAGTTCATTTATTTCAGTGCAGCAACTTAAAAGGTGAAACTAATATATGAGACTCATTACATGCAAAGCAAGATAGTTCAAGCCGTGATTTGTCATCATTGTGATGATTATGGCTTACAGCTCATGAAAACCCCAAATCCACAATCTCAGAAAATGAGAATATTCCATGCAATCAACAAAACACGGATTGTACATAGAACAATATCGCACCTCTGAAAAGTAGAAGCTGCATATGTACTCAGTACTTGGTTTGGGCCCCTTTTGCAGCAATTACTGCCTCAGTGCAGCGTGGCATGGGAGCTATCAGCCTGTGGCACTGCTGAGGTGTTATAGAAGACCAGGATGCTTCAATAGCGGCCTTCAGCTCTTCTGCATTGTTCAGTCTCATGTCTCTCATCTTTCTCTTGGCAATGCCCCATAGATTCTCTATGGGGTTCAGGTCAGGCGAGTTTGCTGGCCAATCAAGCACAGTAATCCCACGGTCATGGAACCAGGTTTTGGTGCTTTTGGCAGTGTGGGCGGAGCCAAGTCCTGCTGGAAAATGAAGTCAGCATCCCCATAAAGCTCGTCTGTGGAAGGAAGCATGAAGTGCTCCAAAATCTCCTGGTAGACGGCTGCGTTGACCCTGGACTTAATGAAGCACAGTGGACCAACACCAGCAGATGACATGGCTCCCCAAATCAACACAGACTGTGGAAACTTCACACTGGACTTCAAGCATCTTGCAGTGTGTGCCTCTCCATTCTTCCTCCATACTCGGGGTCCTTGTGGCCTCTCCATTCTTCCTCCATACTCGGGGTCCTTGTGCCTCTCCATTCTTCCTCCATACTCGGGGTCCTTGGGCCTCCCCATTCTTCCTCCATACTCGGGGTCCTTGGGCCTCCCCATTCTTCCTCCATACTCGGGGTCCTTGTGCCTCCCCATTCTTCCTCCATACTCGGGGTCCTTGTGCCTCTCCATTCTTCCTCCATACTCGGGTCCTTTTGCCTCTCCATTCATCCTCCATACTCGGGGTCCTTGGGCCTCTCCATTCATCCTCCATACTCGGGGTCCTTGGGCCTCTCCATTCATCCTCCATACTCGGGGTCCTTGTGCCTCTCCATTCTTCCTCCATACTCGGGGTCCTTGTGCCTCTCCATTCTTCCTCCATACTCGGGGTCCTTGTGCCTCTCCATTCTTCCTCCATACTCGGGGTCCTTGTGCCTCTCCATTCTTCCTCCATACTCGGGGTCCTTGTGCCTCTCCATTCTTCCTCCATACTCGGGGTCCTTGGGCCTCCCCATTCTTCCTCCATACTCGGGGTCCTTGGGCCTCCCCATTCTTCCTCCATACTCGGGGTCCTTGTGCCTCCCCATTCTTCCTCCATACTCGGGGTCCTTGTGCCTCTCCATTCTTCCTCCATACTCGGGGTCCTTTTGCCTCTCCATTCATCCTCCATACTCGGGGTCCTTGGGCCTCTCCATTCATCCTCCATACTCGGGGTCCTTGGGCCTCTCCATTCATCCTCCATACTCGGGGTCCTTGGGCCTCTCCATTCTTCCTCCATACTCGGGGTCCTTGTGCCTCTCCATTCTTCCTCCATACTCGGGGTCCTTGGGCCTCTCCATTCTTCCTCCATACTCGGGGTCCTTGGGCCTCTCCATTCTTCCTCCATACTCGGGGTCCTTGGGCCTCTCCATTCTTCCTCCATACTCGGGGTCCTTTTGCCTCTCCATTCATCCTCCATACTCGGGGTCCTTGTGCCTCTCCATTTGTCCTCCATACTCGGGGTCCTTGGGCCTCTCCACTCTTCCTCCACACTCGGGGTCCTTGGGCCTCTCCATTCTTCCTCCATACTCGGGGTCCTTGGTTTCCAAATGAGATGCAAAAGTTGCTCTCATCAGAAAAGAGGACTTTGGACCACTGAGCAACAGACCAGGTCTGTTTTTCTTTAGCCCAGGTAAGACGCATCTGACGTTGTTTGTTGTTCAGGAGCGGCTTGACAAGAGGAATACGACATTTGAAGCCCATGTCCAGGATCCGTCTGTGTGTGGTGGCTCTTGATGCACTGACTCCAGCCTCAGTCCACTCCTTGTGAAAGTCCCAACACTTTTGAATGGCCTTTTCCTGACTATCCTCTCCAGGCTGCGGTCATCCCTGCTGCTTGGCACCTTTTTTCTTCACACTTTTCCCTTCCACATAACTTTCTATTAATGTGCTTTGATACAGCACTTTGGGAACATCCAACTTCTTTTGCAATTACCTTTTGAGGCTTTCCCTCCTTATGGAGGGTGTCAATGATGGTGTCAGTTCAGCAGTCTTTCCCATGATTGTGATTCCTACTGAACCAAACTGAGAGACCATTTAAAGGCTCAGGAACCCTTTGCAGGTGTTATGGCTGAATTATCTGATTAGAGTGGGACACTTTGAGCCGAGATTATTCCACCTTTTCACAATATTCTCATTTATCTGAGATTGTGGATTTGGGCTTTTCATGAGCTGTAAGCCATAATCATCACAATGATGACAAATCACGGCTTGAACTATCTTGCTTTGCATGGAATGAGTCTCATATATTAGTTTCACCTTTTAAGTTGCTGCACTGAAATAAATGAACTTTTGCACCATATTCTCATTTTTCGAGTTTCACCTGTGAATATATATTGTATTGTAAGCTGGAAAGAGCAGGGCCCTCAATCCCCTCATGTTTTGCATTGTATTGGTATTGTTCTGTCACATGTTCTGTCCCCCTTTGTAATGTACAGCGCTGAGCGAACTATTGGCGCTTTATAAATACTGTATAATAATAATATATTAATCTCCGCATTTCAGTCTTTTAATATGTGAATTTTAAATAAATAGTTTTTAGGGCTGAAATTGATTTTTTTTGTCCTTTACAATTAGCTTAGCTGACCTGCAGCAGTTAAAAAAAAAAAACAAAAAAAAACAGTCATTTTGTCTTTCCAATGTGATTTAAGATACATTTTGTTCTTCCAACTCCCGGCTTTTCCTTCCGAACACAAATTTTGCAGTTTCCCTTTAAAGAGCGGGCTCGCCACCTGAAAGTATATATACGTGTATTTTATTTTAATCTCCGCAGCTCAGATATTTTAATATGTGAATTTTAAATAAAGAGTTTTCCTTAGGAGACAATATACACAGTAATAATTACTTCTCAATTTAATTATATTATCGCTTTATATCATATATAGAGAGAGATTTGCGTGTTTCTCATCTCACTAAGGAATATACATAATTAGCTCAGCATTTCCAAACTTCTTTATTTTTTTTTTTTTTTTAATTAAAAAGTAATTACTTCTCATTTTAATTAAGAAATGTAAGTACTGTTAGGAAGCTGACGATATTCCAACGTATCGCCGGACCGGGCCGGGCTGTTAACCCTACGAGGGCCGAGACAGAGCCATCGGGGAAGGTTTAGTGACTGAGGTTTTGGGTTTTGGATGTTTCTCTGTTTCAAATGCTGCTTTGTGCATTGACATGCCTCCTAAAGCCGGCCATACATGGTTCAAATTCCAAACGATTTTCGTTATGAAAATCGGACCTAAGAATAATCGGCCGATTTTCGCTCTGTTAGTGGGGCCGATTTTCGTGGTTCCTTCCCATTTCGTTTATCGGGCATGCGGGAAAATTCATGAAAAATGACCGATTTTCGAAATCATTGGTGGCGCCCTCGGATTACAAAACGAACGACGTTTCCGATTTTCGGACGAAAAATCATTCGGCATTTGAAGCATGTATGGCCTGCATTACCCGAGGTTCACAACTAAGCGTTTTCTGCAGCGTTTTGCAGAAACGCATTACAGGCCATTTAACCCCCCCCCCGGCGGTATTCCCGAGTGTAGCTCGGGGTAAAATTTGAGTACCAAAAGCGGTAAAGCGGCTTACCATGCGGCGTTGCTCATGGATTCCCTGCAGCACTTACCTTGTCCTTCGCTCCCGCAATGTGTCCCCTGCAGCGTCCCCGGCCATCTCCTCCGGCCGATGCCGACATCCGGCTTCCGTGTTCCGGTCCCTGTGACGTCGGGACGTACGGGGGCCAGAACCGGCGGCAAATTTGAAATTTTTTAAAAATTAAATTTTTTTTTAAAATGATTATTACATAGTAAAACATTCCTGTATCAAACCATTTCACATACATTTTGTCCCGAGTGCTTTGTCCGGCGCCCTGCCTGCATTTTTACTGTTCTTTCTCCCTGGAAACTTAGAAAAGTCCATGGCGTCCAAAAAGCGTCCCTTTAGGTCAGACGCGGTTTTAGACCGGCTAGAGAACAGCGAAAGTAAATCAGAACCACTTGCAGAATTGAGTGATAATGATTGGTGGGGGAAATTCCTCATCAGACACTGAAAACGATTCTGCGACTTTGAGCTCAGCGATGTGCGAACTTGGCGCTCTATTTCACATTTCAGTGTTTTTGGTTTGATTATATTATTGAATTATATTTATTATTATATTATTATTTTTTATGATTATTTATTAAATTATAATTTATGATTTCGTGTTTCAAATTTTATCATCCCCGGGATGTTTACTAGACTCTTGTTCGGACAGATTTCAGTGAGTTATTCCTAAAAATTACAGCCTACAATAAAAAACTACATATTTCCATGCAAAAAAATGTACCGCTTTCAGCACAAAAAATCGGAAAGAATCAGACCGCCGAGGAGGTTAACATGATTTCCTATGGGACAGGCTAATTTCTGTGCGTTTTTTGGGAAGGGTCAGGGACTTTTTTGAACGCAAATAGTTGCCTTTTTTTGGTTCTATAGACTTCAATGGAAACGCTGCAGAAAAGTATGTAATGCGTTTTTGCTATGTTTTAAATCTGCCTAGCAACAAGAAAAAAAATGGAAAAACGCAAAATGGATCAAAAACGTAGTAAAAACACAGGTGCAAAAAAACACAAAATGCAACGCAGAAACGGCTCAAACGCAACCTACATAGGTGTGAACCTAGCCTCAGACAGAGTTTGTCCGGACAGTAAGGCCACCTACTGACTTGGCAGCATCAATAGGCAGCTTAACTCCTCAATGGGCAGCACAGTGGCTAAATGTGGGCAGCACAGTGGCTAAGTCCTCCTGCACACAGGACGTTTTTACAGCGGCTGTTTTTGGCTTTTGATGTTTTTTTCTACAGCAAGTAAACCCCCCAGCATGTTATCCTATGAATCAGAATCAGTATTTTTTGGCTGCAAAAAAAAACCCAGGACTAGTGGGCTTCTAGAGGAGTTTTTTAAAAGTGCTGTAATGCTGAGAAACGCGATAAAACATTAAAACATGGCATTTTTGGACTTTTTTTGACCAAAACAAAATGCAAATGCAGCAAAACTCGTCTAAACGCTAATGCAAAAACGCTAAAAAAAGCTGAAAAACTCACTTTACACAGCTAACATTACCAGCGTTATCAAAACACCCCGTGTGCATGGAGACTAAATGGTTAGCACTTCCGCCTGGCAGTACTCGGGTTGTTGGTTCAAATCCCAACCACGGCACCACCTGCCTGGAGTTTGTATGTTCCCCTTGTGCCTGTGTGGGTTTCCTCCGGGTACTCCAGCTTCCTCCCACATTTCAAAGACTTACTGGTAGGTTAATTGGCTCCTGTCCATGGCCCTAGTATATGGATGTGAATTAGGGACCTTAGATCATACACAGGGGTGGACTGACAACTCATGGGGCCCCGGGCAATAGGGGATCATGGGGCCCCTGTGCCCTTGCCCAAACTCAAAAAAGCCTATGAAAAAGGTACCAGGGGCATCTCATGGGGCCCCCTACTGACCCCGGGCCCTCGGGCAGTCCGCCCCTGATCGTACACCCCTTCAGCGGTCCAGCAGAAGGCCTGAGAGCAGCCACCAACCCAGAAGCTCATAGGAGGAGGACTGAGTGAGTAGACATGCACCCCCTGGGCCAGTAAGGGGAAGGAGCACTCTGGTGGGAAAATGGATTAGCTTTCTTACCCGGGACTGTCTTACCCTTAAAGTGACAGGCGCTGAATCCACTGCCCAATGATTCCCACAGAACAGCTGGATAGAGGAGTATCTGAGGTGGTACTACAGGAGATGCTGGCAAGCTCCCCAGAAGAGACATTTTTTTTGTAAAGACTTGTATAGTTCCAGGACGTTTATCTTCTATTGCCATTCCTTTGGGTATCTCATAAACCCCTTACCCCATCCAAGTTTAAATTCCCCTAACAAAAGCTCAAGGACTGGTTACTGTCTCCTGGATGCAAGTCGGGGTGGAAAATGCGTGTTGCCTGGCTGTGCTGGACTTTAGGAGGACCCAGACTTCAGCAACTCCTGAGGGGGTTGTACTACAAAAGTAATCCATAGCAATGCAAACGTTTATTGACCAGTAATCTACCAAGGCTGTAAGTAATCCACATAGAGCAGTAGCATTGCTATGGGGGTGCACACCCAGGTGACAGCCGCCAGAGGGGTGACACCATTAGGGCTGATGCCATCATCGCTGGTGCTATGCAAACACAGCATCCCAGAAACATCTGGAGGAATGGCGGGAATGCCGTGTTTAGCATAGCATGGGTGGGGGAGAATGGCTTAGCAGTGGCAAGGCCCGTGGTGGAGAGGACCTGGGACAGGCAGAGGCTGGGACTCTACTGAAGAAGAGTGCTGGCTTGCTGGTGCTCAGGAACCAAGATGGAGGGAGGGAAGGGTAGACTTACGGACCAGCTGTTGGCAGTAAAGACCATGCTGCTCCGAACTTTTCCTATGACTCACAGAACCCAGCTCCTCACTGAACCACCTCCGGCTCCTCGATCCATGGGCACTCTGTGACACTGCTCCATGGGGCTCATCATGCCGGGAGCTGTGATCTGGGGTCACCAAGTAACTTCTCACCTCCTGGATCACCTGTGCTGTCCATCTCCACCTCACCTTTGTTTTTTGACCCTGTGCCTGCTGAAATGCCATAATCACTATCACCCCCACACATGAGGGTTCCTAGTTCTTTCCTTTTAGGGTGTCACCCTTTGGTTTAAATCGGTGCCCCCCTCCCTTACCCTTTTAGTGGCCTCCATTCCTAGGAAGGGTGACCATGGTGAAAGCTCTGACATACACCTGTCAGTGGCAGCAATGTGCTTAGTCAGAATCTCACTCCCATGGGAAAAAAATGGTGGGGGGGGGGCACCATGTTTTACTGCACCAGGTGACACCAACCCTAATGACACCACTGAACAGAGTACAGCAGTTGTTAGCATAAGTCCATGTAGATCCAGACCCCTAGGAACCTCAGCTGGGTTCCCTCAAGAGGGCAAACCGGCAGCATAACAACTACATGTTCACCATATCCAGGACTTCCCCCTGGGACACTAATGAGCCCCTATTTATATGGGTTGACCCGCAGAGGGTGGCAACCCTCTGAAAAAGAGCGGGATAACCTGACCCTTCCTTCTCAGATCCACCAGTTCAGCAGGTCAACCAAGAACAAATGTTGGAAAAAGCTAAGTTGTAACATTTGACTTGTACACAATCAGTTGACCTGGTGAACCTCAGAGCATGGCACAGTAAGGTTCTAGGCACACTTATGCGACTTGTCATGCAACTTTGGACACACAAAGGCGCATGACAAGTTGCAGTCCATTGTTTTTAATGGCGTCTACAAGTCACATCAACTTTGAAAAGGTTCCTGCACTACTTTGATGTGACTTTGATGCAACTTAGTGCCAGAGAGTGTCAGGTTGGATCAAAGTTGCACTCAAAGTCACAATAAAGTCCTTCTCCAAAGTCACATTGGAAATAGTGCGACTTTGGAGTCTCACAAGTGTGAATGGAGCCTAACAGGAAAAAAAAAACAGGAAGCACCTGCTTACGTGAGTTGAGGTATGGAAGATTTTGGAACAATTTACCAGGCACTGGTCTCACTAGGGTTGAGAACCAATACTTGAGAGACCTCACATCTGACCTAAAGAGGTCCATCTATAGAGGGAAAGGTCTCTCACTGGAGAGGTCTCTCACACTGGAGTCTAAGGGGCCCCGCCATCCTTCCCTGATGTCCTTCTTTGGGACCCCCTGTCCAAAAAGAAGGACATCAGGGAGGGAAGGCGGGGCCCCTTAGACTCCAGTGTGAGTGACCTCTTCGGTGCAGTCTGGCGGCACTCTGGAGCCCGGAGGCGGATGGATAAAACTTGTATCGACCAATGTTAATGTGATGGTGTGGAGCGCTGAGCACCGAAATCATTATCACCGTGTAGTGAAATGATAGCTGTCTGTTATTGATTTCTGTGGGCTGGAGATGGAGAGGAGAACATAACACTTCCAGCGCTCAGCCTGTTCAACACGCCCCAATTTAACCGCCACTCCGAACAAAACGCTCTGCAGAAATTCAAGTAGATGTGAAGAGCTGGGAGGAAGGATCAATCCGTAATACGGCACACTGGACCGAAAAAAAGTAGAATATTACTGCTGGTTATCAGTGGAGGACAGTGATGTCCCTCCTGTATAATATATCTTATATCTGGAGAGCGGTGATGTCATTCCTGTATAATATATCTTATATCTGGAGAGCGGTGATGTCACTCCTGTCCTGTATAATATAACTTATATCTGGAGGGCGGTGATGTCACTCCTGTATAATATATCTTATATCTGGAGAGGAGGTGATGTCACTCTGTATAATATATCTTATATCTGGAGGGCGGTGATGTCACTCCTGTATAATATATCTTATATCTGGAGAGCGGTGATGTCACTCCTGTATAATATATTTATATCTGGAGGGCGGTGATGTCACTCCTGTATAATATAACTTATATCTGGAGAGCGGTGATGTCACTCTGTATAATATATCTTATATCTGGAGAGCGGTGATGTCACTCCTGTATAATATATCTTATATCTGGAGAGCGGTGATGTCACTCCTGTATAATATATCTTATATCTGGAGAGCGGTGATGTCACTCTGTATAATATATCTTATATCTGGAGAGCGGTGATGTCACTCTGTATAATATATCTTATATCTGGAGGGCGGTGATGTCACTCCTGTATAATATATCTTATATCTGGAGAGCGGTGATGTCACTCCTGTATAATATGTCACTCCTGTATAATATATCTTATATCTGGAGGGCGGTGAGGTCACTCTGTATAATATATCTTATATCTGGAGGGCGGTGATGTCACTCCTGTA